TCAGTGGCAGAGCGCTTGCCTTGCATGCATGAGGCCCTGGGTTCAATTCCTCAGCACCACATAAGCAAAAAGAAAAAAAGCCGGAAGTGGCACTGTGGTTCAAGTGGTAGAGCGCTAGTCTTGAGCTGAATTGCTGAGGGACAGCGCCCAGGCCCAGAGTTCAGGCCCCATGACCGGACCCCCCCCCCAAAAAAAAAACCTGTCCACAATACAGAGACCAAATCTCAGACAATTCTGGATTCAGAAGAGAGAGGCCAAGATATTGACCTCTGAAATCCTAGCTGCTATGCTTCCTAGCTCTGTGGCTTTGGAGAAGTAGCTCAACCCCTCTGTGCCTCACTTTCCTCATCCACAAAATGGGAGATGTAGGGCCTAGAGCTGCCATGACATATAACACAATGCATGCAAAGTAGCCAGCGCAGCGTCTGGCATTTAATAGACATCCAAAGATAATCACTAAGATTATTGTTAGCTCTGTTTGTTGTATGGACCTTTTCCCAGTAAAAATATAATTGTTTCACTGAAATAGGACCCCTAGACAGAAAAATAATAATTTTTCTTCACCCATTCTAGTAATTCTTTTTAAAGCATTTTTCATAAACAGGATGGAGAGATGTATCAAGTGCTCAATTTTTCACACTGACTTCTTACCCTAGTGAGAAAGCTTTCATTACTACTCTTGTATGATGGATGCGGAAACTGAGGCCCAGAGAGGTAGCCTGAGATCGTGCAGCTCGGACCTTCGTGATTCAGACAAGTAGACAGTTTCAGAAGTTTCCTGATTGTAGGAAAAGCTTCCTTTAACGGATTGGCCTAAATTCTTCCTTGCCTTTGTACTGTGCCAAGAGAGAGCAGGAGTCCGGTCCCAGCCTGAAGCCTCTGAAGCCTTGGGCACTAGGCCCTGGGGTGGAGTAGCTGGAACTAAGTCAAGCTTAGTCCTGTCCTGTCCTTCTGGGTCAAGGTTGAACTTGTGGAACAGGAAAAGGGTCTAGATCACAGCATCCACTTGCTCTTGCTCTTACATTTGCTTGTCCAATCCAAGTTCACATGGAGGAGTGCATGGTTGTGGCTGCTGGGAGCCATGTCTCCAGACCTCAAATCAGCAATGGCTCAGGAGCAGTTTTGAGTACTAGTGATGGATTCAAAGGGAATGAATTAAGTGTGAGAAGTGCTGGATTCCAATAGAAATGCTCTGCAGCCAGAATTCTGATTTGAGAGAAAAGGCATACATGGGCACATGTGTGAATAACACACATGCACACACAAAGGACTGGAGGGTGGGATTTCTGAGTAGCCTGCCTTGATGCTAGCTGGCAATCTCTTGTCAATCAAGATCACACCAAGTCCATTATACTGTACTTGGTCAAATGCGAGCTCAGGCAGGGGAGGCTGCTCCTATGGGAGCAGCACCTGCTTCTCCTTACAGGAAGAGCTATGCTGCCTGAACTTGACATCCTGTGATAGGTGCACTTCCAATCCATGGGGAACATATTCAGTCACTCAGTTCTCCTAAGATTGTCAGAGCTAACAGGTGGCAGAGGTTGACATATAATCCTGAGTTTTTCTAATTCTCCAGCCAGTGGCAGTAATTTCTAGGCATGTCTATGGCTCACTCCTGGAACTGGTGCCCAGGTGGTTGGTAAGAAGGAGGTAGCTTTGTCTCTACTGTAAAGATGACTGCACATAGAGACCTAGCCAGGTCACCTTTCGTACTTCCACAATTTGAGGAGTGGTCTATAACCAGCGCCAGCCAGTGGGGGGTGGAATTTGATCGGAGGCTGCAGGCCAGCTGAAATCCTGGCTCTCTCCTGGGGCTTGCTTTGCAGGGGGATGCGTGGCAGAAACCCTAGGACATGGATGCTGAAGGATGACAGTGACACAACACAGCCAGATGGGTAGAGGCCAACATCTGTCACATGTTCCAAACTACACAGACTTCTGG